GCTACTAGAAGAATGTATGTATGAGTGCAAACTCTTACAACGCCGCTAAAATAATCTAAGTTTGGCGCAAGGACTCGTCATCGTATTGTAAATATACTGCCGTGGGGAAATGTCTCCACGCCAACGTGAGAACGGTGTATTGAACTAGTCCTATTTAGGTATGTACTTTACTGTACCTTTCTCGATCTTGGGAGGCTAGTGGCAGTTTGCATTTGCTAGTCCCAAATCCGTTACTTAGATTTACTAGTTGGCTGGTTAATTAACGGAGCACGAAGGTTTAACCATAATGATACTCCGCTTATATATTCGGCATACAATATTGTATATTGTGCATGTATTTTTGCTACCGCCACACGCGTGGCGTGGACTGCACACGTAGGCCTTTGATAAGAGCAATTTAGTTATGGCACTATACGTTACAGGGTACGTTCTATATGAATCCCAATCCCACGCGTAAAAAGAAAGAACCAGCCTTGGACGCCTTGGCCACAGCCTTGGCCCAGGTTGTTCCAGCGCAAGAGGTGGGAATTGACACCGATTTGCCAAGTGAACCGCCACCGCGTGCCACAGGACGGGGCGTGCACAGTGCAATTCGAGGTCTCCATTGCCCCCATTATTTCTCATTAGGCGTATTCGTACTCAGGATATTGTATTTTTATAGCTAGTGTATTGAATGGATATGGAGAAGTGCAACATTGGAATATGTCGACCAATGAAAGCCCCTTAAATAAATCGATCAACTGTGCACAAGTACAATTAATGATTGGTAGCATAACCCATTACCACGGGAACTGTCAGAGAGTACCCCACTCGACCCATAATCAGCAACAAGCTCTGGTACGCCAAAACTCCCAAATGGCAAATCCACCTAATAACCCACGGTTCACCACGTTGTATCTCCATTCAATCTTTAACTCGGGTGCCTATCCCTCGTCATAGCACCCCATCCGACAGGATCGGCACTGAAGCTTCTCCGGTTTTCCATTCTAAGCTCAGCATCGGATGTGACGTGGGTGATTCTTGCCCCAACCTTTAATTTATTGTCCGTTTCTATAACATAGCCTACATATGCACCACCCGTGCTCCGTATATTGTACTCCGTATGTAAATCACCTCAAAACATATATTAACCCCACTTGTCACTTCTGATACCCGCTATGTGGTAAACTACAAGCATTGTGTAGATCGCATGCCGTGCCATGCTTATCACAAGCGGGATGTTGGCGCTAAAAACGGCGATGAAATACTCCTTCGGTACAAATCTGATATTAACCCACAGTGCGCGCCTAACGCATGTCCATACTTCACATTTATGGTTATCTGCTCTGTACTACTCCGTAGAGGCATTGGTTATCGAGGTTATATATGTGCATTGGCAGATATACATATACTACTGCACAGACATTCGCTATGATAAACGTGGCTTTTGCCCAGCTTGGCAGATAGGGTCCGGGGCCCCTAATTAAAAGCGGTGTATAGCACCATATTGGTCTGTACTGAAATATGGGGCTAATACATGAAATGCACGGGGCGCTGGGCGATGTACTAGTATTGCCTAGTGGTTATCCCTGGTCTAACGTGATGCTCCAGATTGTGTCGCGACAGCTCTCTTAATCATAATCGAGCACTCGTTATGAAGTGAGCACTGTATTATGCTGCCTACCTGTTGATAATACCTATGCATATGCAAGATCGAGGCTGTACAGCCCTGTAACTGACTTGGCATGTCCAAACATAGTATGATCATGCGTGGCTGCCTTCTGTAAGGAATTCTGATAGTGGCTGGTAATGCATGCCCTCGCAGAGTGTTGTGTTACTTTATTTTATACTTTAACGCATGTGAAAGTAAACAAGCAGGGGGTGGTGCGTTTCGAGTTTACTACCTAGAGCGAAGTTAAACGCCATCTCCGCACTTGGCCCTGGAGGCCATGGCGGTTTGATATATGTCGTCATCTTAAGGTCTGCATCTGCATGCAGCTCGAAGCGGTATAGCAGTAAAATGAAAAATAATTCGGGTATCAGTGGCTATTCCAACGTAAAAAGAAATGCACGCTCTTGTAAACACAAATAAAACCATGTCCCAGTCCTTGCTTCTTCTAGGTAGTTCAAACCACTGGACCGGGCCAAAAGCAACATCCATCCCACATCAACAGATGAAAGGGAGCTGCTCCATACAGACCGCTCGCTCGTCTCCGTTGTATCGCTTTTGGAGACAGTCCCAACATGGCCGCCAGTTTCCATGTTCAATCAGTGTCTCATGCAAAACTCGCCCAATAAGGTCGAATGAAAAGCGTCATCAAGAGATTCGCTAGTCAGCTTGCCCCTCCCCCTGCACGGCTCACAATTTTTAACATCGATGGCCCAGAGCCAGCTTTGAGCAGAGATCAAGGCTAGAATCATACCCACTGCGCCCTGGACTCTACGACCTGTCTTTCATTGAACGGGGTCTAGTTTTCGAATTCCATTCGATGCCACAAGGAACGTTGAGACTCGGTTTGGAAAAGCGACATTTGATCAATAAAAAGAGTATGGCTCATCGAACCTCGGGCGCCGCCGCAGCCACAAACTCGCGGTTCACATTAGCCGTACCCGTCGCACGCTCGTTGGGCCCATGCGCGGGCTCAAACAGACGCCGCCACCAGCGAGGCGGGTCAAGCGGACGGTGGCCACCATGCAGGGGCGGGTAAACATCGTTGAAGAAGTACCAAATATGGCCGACGACAACACCGAGCATCTCATCCTTCGGCACAATCTTATGCACAATCACGCTGAATCCCATCAGTACCCAGGGCAGATAGGGGGCAGTGAAGACCAGCAGCCCCAACAAGCTGAGACGGGTATCTGGGTTGCGCCGGGCCCAGATGTAGACCAGGCTGGATGAAAGCGCGCTTCCCAAGAAGGGTATTGAGAGGAAAGGTGAGATGATGAGGAGAGTTGTCATGGCGTAGAATATCAGCCATGCGAAGTGCGCTGGAGAGCGGCCGGATGTTTCTTCCAGAAGGCGTGAGTAGCGCTGCAGGAAGAAGACGTGGAATATTAAGTCGAGATTGAGGGGCCCGAAATAGAGGAATGTCGTGAGTAGTCGCCAGTACTGCGATTTAATGTAGACAGACCGGAAGCTGTAGAATAGCTGGAATGGGGTTACGATATGGCACTGCACCAAGAGTGAGGTTGCGACGGTGGCTACCGTCCACCACCGGGTGACGGGTGGCATCTCATAGAACCATTGCTCGAGGGGAAACTGGCCTGGTTGCCCATTGTTCTCCCAGAGGGCGGCCATGCTGTAGGGTAGTTGTGACTATTGATGGGGATGCAAATCAGACAGAAGCGGGAGTAAGGACGGATGATCACCACAAGCACTGAGAGCTCTCTGGGGTATATTCAACGTATGACGGAGATAAGACCAGGTAGGCCACTTTATCGTCACGTGCCAGACACGAAACGCGTGTTTACGTGAGAATCACGGGGGCTGGGACGCTAAGGCCGGAATAGTTCATATTGACAGCTCCCCCAGCCCTCCGTTGGCAAAGAAGACTGTCTAATTATTACAGATACGATTTTTAAACTCAATCCCTTCAGTTGAACCTCGTGTGCGCGCATAAGTCTCCGCGACACTCGAGCACGGTTCCTGCAAGGGGGCATCACACAAACGCGGCAATTCGCAGGGCACTGGTTGCTAGGCGATAAACCTCCCAATTGATCGCTTTCCAACACCCCACTACCAAAAAGAAGACCCCACAGCGCGTTTCTCCTCCACCACAATGCCACCCAAGTTAGCCAGCAAGACAGCACCAGGAAGCGCACAAAAAGGCAAAGCGCGCAAGACAGCCACTGCGCCCGCCGATGGAGATGGGACACCAACCAAAGCACAGAACACGAAGGGAGGAAAGCAATCAAAAGTCGCAAAGACCACCGCCAACATCCAACGTACGTTCTACCCTCCTATCACTAGCACAATGAGCGCTTTACTCAACTCTACTTGCGCAATTCCCCAACCAAACCCCATTCTAACAATCCCCTAGCCGGAGACCCAACCCCCACAGGCCGCCGCCGCCGCTACAAGCCCGGCACCGTCGCTTTGAAAGAAATCCGCCGCTACCAACGCTCTTACGACCTCCTCATCGCCAAACTGCCCTTTGCGCGCTTAGTCCGCGAAGTCGCGCTCGATCTTCTCCCCGCCGACGTTGGCGCCGAGTTGCGCTGGCAGTCCCATGCCATCCAAGCTCTGCAGGAGGCCGCCGAGGCTTTCCTTGTCCACCTCTTCGAGGATACGAATTTATGCGCGTTGCACGCGAAGCGCGTTACTATTATGCAGAAGGATATCCAGCTTGCGCGGAGAATTCGCGGCGTCTGGGCTGGGCTTGGTTGAGCTGTCCCATTGACTGTTTCGATCTATGCGGCTTTTTCGAGTTTAATATTAATTTCGCGGTGTGATGGTGGCTTTCTTCTCCTGTGGATGAGGAGAGGGGTCTCAACGGACATTGCTGGCGTATTGTGGGCATGGAGTTGACTTCGGCGGGTTCTGTTGTCCTTGTTCTTCTTTCGATGTTTCGCCCAGCTTCGGCTGATGGAGCTTGTGCCTGTGACTGCAGGCTGATTTATACCATAGTGTTTGTACATTAGCATGGATGTCGGGTGTTCATGTTCTTTTTTATAGGGAGCGAAGCAACTCATGGTCGCTCTCGGGTGGTGTGATATACTTGCCCCGGTCTGAATCCTATCAATGATTTCAATGTCAACCATTCCTACATATCACTAGGTAAACTCTGTGCTTAGGGTATCGAAAAGGTATTTCTTGGTTCGCCCAATAATATCATTTACCGGCTCGCATCCCTGTGTCAATAACGGCAGAAAATATCAAACGCCTTCCTTGGTAGCCATCAAATGGTATCGTAAACGAGCGCCTCCCTAGGAACAGTTCATAAAACAAAGGCCAAAGGGAAAGACGTTAAAACAAAACAAAAAGGTATATCATGTTCATAGCAATAGACAAAAGCCAATCAGGCAGAACGTCTCAGGCGGGGCGGAAGACCCGAGACCAAGCGTTGGCCTTCCTCGCGGACGCCCTGCGCTTCCTCGCCCTTGCCCTGTCGCTCCAAAGTCTCAGCCAGCATGTCGTCAGTGACGCTCGCCCACATACGGTCATTGGCTCGTTTGGCCATTGCACGGCCGGCTCGAGCGCTTTTCTCAGCTTGCTCGCCGACCACGCCGCGGAAGTACTTCCAGCTCATGAATGTTAGGGTCATGCAGGTGATTTGGCTGTTGCTGATTGCGGTGGCGGACTGCAGAGCTTGCTGAAGGTACTGTTTTGTTTGGATGGTTGACTCGGAGTGAACGGTCGCACAGACCAGGAAGTAGGCAGCTTGTATGTACTTGTTTGGACTGCTTTGGCAGAAGGGTTCGAGGGTTGCTAGAACAGCAGTGAGCAGGGGGTGCGACGGGTGACTTGGATCACGGAGGATAAGGACTGTGTTGAGACCGGCGAGGATGCGCGTATCACGACAGGGGTCGTTGCGTCCTGTCTTGCTGGTAGCGGGGTCTAGTGACAGAATTGGGGATTGGAAGATGTTCAGCGCGGTGTCGAGGTCTCCAGTTGCTTGTGCGATGGTGCCGCCGGCATATTCCATCAGACATTCGATGGTGTCTGGAAGATTGGAACCGAGCTCTTCGAAGACTTGTCGAAGGTCGTTGAGAGTCTGGTTGGCAAAATCCCAATCTGTTCGAGCGCAAGCCAGGAAAACTCGTTGGAGGAGAAGGTTACAGTAAAGAGACTGACGCCATTGAACCCGACGGTTGGCATTGACCATGGATTCTGGAATTTCTTGGGGGGCCTTGAAATTTCCTTGAACCATTCGAAGCCCTTCCTCGAGATACTTCTCTGCTTTTCGGCCATCATACGAGTTCTTGGCACTGAGCGTGATTGAGCTTAGGAAATAGCAAAGCGCATAAAGATCATGTTGAGGAAGCCAGTTAAAACTTAATAGCAATGTCCCATTATGGACCTGTAAGATGTCACCTGTGTCGATGGATGACGGCCCGGCGGATTTACCGTTGAGAGGGACTGAAAATGACCCATCAGGACGCCAGTTGCTGTCGCTCAGTGTTTCGTCCATCAAAGCCTGCATGACCTTCAGCTTCTGTCCAGACTGGTTGACGTCGTACTCTAGAAGACTGCAGCAGATATCGACCATTTGAATCAATGTCGTAAGTTGGGGTATATGGCGAAGCTCATCATTCAGTTGATGGCTTCGCGCGGCGGCCACGGCGCGCTGCGCCTGCTCGATAGAATCGGAATTTGTAGCTTGCTGCAAGTGCGCAAGTGATTCGATGACAGCCGCCATTGCCGAAACAGCCTTGTCCCCATTACGACTAGCCATCGCCGTGATCTTGTGAAGATGCTGTAACGCTTGCACGGAGTCTTGGTGTGACGGGGATGACAACGAGAGTGATACTCGAAGGAAACGAAATGCGTACTCCCATGCGGCATGGCGGTACCTATAGCTATTAGCATCCCGTGGTCAAAGAGAATGGAATGGCACATACGCTTCCACATCCTGAATCATCCCATCGACCGCTTTCAAAGAAGCTTTAGGGTTACTCTTGTGGAGCATTCGTGCCAAGAGGTGCTGCATGCTGTATTTCAAGTCAAGCATACGGTTCTATAACAGTCAGAGATTAAAACAAATTCACTATCAAGTTTCGGTTGACTGACTCGTTCACAAAGATCGATCTGCGTCAAGTCAGTGGGTATTTCTGGAACAGAGGAGGGAAACAAATACATACTCCTTTACTCAATGCTGTTTCCGCTTCGATGTCATTGTCTGTCTCCTCGAACAATGTACGCGCGTACCGAAGTCTAACAAGAGCTTCTTTGCGAGGTTGCAATCGCCAGTTCTATCATATAATTTGCTTAGCATGGGCACATAATTTCTCCAATATAGCAGTTCACCAACCTTCAAGACAGCCTCCAAACAGCCCAATCCGGTAGCAACCAGCTTGTAATATTCCTCGACGTCCATCTCACGAGCGGTCAATGAAGTCGTTGTTCCACGACCATGAGCAGCATTTAGATATTCATCAGCCAAGGACAACAGCAGAACCTGATAGTCGACTGGAGGCTTCGCAGACTTGGCAGGCGTGGGCTTCCCATGCTTTTCGACATTTGACTGAGACAGCTGTCTGTTCTTTTCAATATACTGTGGTTGAGGTTGCTTCTGGGGAGTCTGGGTTTGAATTCTTGCTTGAATGACTGGGGAAGGAGCTGGGATCATGACTTGCGGAGTAGCATGTGTCACCAGCGATGGAGCAGGCTGGGGTCGTTTCGGCGTCACAATAGGTGTAGAAAGCTCTTTCTGGGGTTCTACTTTGGGAGAGATCTTGGATGGCGTGGGTTCGGATTTAATGATAGGCTGTGTTTGCGGTGTATCAATATTGGCTTGTCTTTGGTTGTTTTGGGTGTTCGGTCTAGGACTAATAGGAGGATGAACAGGCATGACTGGCGGCGGAACCGGCAAAGTAGCCGGTGGCATTTGGGAAGGGCTAGCACTCGAGACGGAAGGCGGTTCGCCATACTGAGGAGAGAGTTGGGTGTATCGGGATCGCGGAGCAGTAGGCAGAGGTTGTTGTACAAACAATTGAGCCGGGTTGACAAACTGATGTTGCAGCACTTCTTGTTGGATTTGAGGCGGGGGAGGGGGGTGGGGAGGTTGAGGGGGAGATTGCAGTTGAGAGAGAATCTGTTGTCCTGGCTGTGATCCTTGCTGCGGCCGTGGTTGGAGAGCTTGTGGTGGTAATTGGAGCGGCTGCTGCGGGGGAGTTTGCGGAGGACGCGTCTGCTGCTGCTGCCGTGACTGCGGATGTGGAGTATATGTCGATGGGTATGAAGGATATGGTGTCATAGCCGAAGGATACAATGCTGGTTTGCCATAGACATCGTATGGGGGCGGCAGAGGATGGGCATTATTGTACAGTATCTGCGGGGGGATTTGCCCGTGTTGATACGGTGGCGGCGGTAGATAATGCGGGTATTGGCCGGAACCAGGTGGTGGGAAGCTCATCGCCCCGAGAAACAGACAATATCGTATGAATCGAGATGAACCGAGTATAAAGTCGAACGCGCGAGATGGTGAGCATGGATCCTCGTGTCGGTCCGGAAAAACCCCAGGGCGGTCAGCTGCTAACCCAACCCCACCCCCCCAACCCCCCTTTACTGTCCCCAGATGGGGAGGGCAACTTCATTCTGACGCCAGTTACTGTCCCCAGACGTGGGTGGCAAGCTCGTTCATATCCGCTGGCGTCAGAACGAAGTTACCCTCCCATCTTTCTTATCCCTTCCAACCATGTCCGAGAATTCGATCTCCAGGTGACCCTAACCCGAGGGTAGCCTGCGCGGCGGTTACGGACAATTTCTGTCCATTGGCTAGGTGACGCAGGCCGATTGTCATGCCTTTCCCAGCTCTCCACCAATATCTTCTTGTCGGTGACGGTGATGGAGACGGCGGCATTCACGTTACTCTCTGGGTCATAAAACCAAAACTGCATCTCTCTTTGGAGCTGTCTGCGGGTCTCTGACCATGCAACCATGCAACTTCGCCAACGAACGTTGGCCACTTGGGCGATCGGCCCCTTGCCATCTCTTTTGGCGTCCAAGAGAAATCGGCCTTCTTGCTTCGGGTCTTACCGCGGACATTTCTGCTATGCGTGGCGTCGAGAAGGGGGTCGACACTCTAGCCCAGGGAGAGAAGATGGGTAATCAACGTTCCGATAGTAACGGCGTGGGTTGAAGACTCCATTTTCAACAGAGCGGATTGAGAGATATGATCGTAGATTTCCCATGACAGCGTCAGTAGTTTATCTCCCGAATTTACAAAACACTCGAGGAAAGAACGTTCGTCTATATCCATAATGAAATAAGCGCTGTATCCGACTGTACCTTCCTCAACGTTCCAATCTGTCGAACTCATTGATCGAAAACTCTAAGACATTCATGATACCCCTCATATCTGTATCTCCGTGTAGCTGGAGGAACAACATCTTGAAAGGACATCATTTTCGAAGAGATGGAAACTCGCAGCCTTGAGCTTGCGTCCAGGGCTTACTTTTTTTATATGGTGGGTTCGGTAATTATGACAATCTACTTACGAACTACATAGGGTTTCCTCTCTTTTCAATTTTGCGGTGTAAATAAGCGATATCATAGAAAGCAAGTTCGACCGTTCAAGAACGATCCAAATTAAAAGATTAAATTTTAAAAAAAACCCCCCAAAGAAAAATACATGTAGTCAAAATAGAAAAACAAGCTGAAACATCTCCAGTTGATACAGCTGGGACCTGACTGCATCCGTCCATTCCTCTATTTCCTCCTTTTCCCTCTCTCTTTCCGAGGGTTATATGAATTCATTTTGCTGTTTTCGTTTTTTACGCATTCAATCTGATTCTTATTTTCCTCTATAGCAATTGATCTCATACCTGGAAGACCTTATCAATTCACATTAGATCACTGATTTGCCTGATATCACTAATATTGTGGATTCTCCCCCTTCCGCAACCATCACTTCATCGCATTGTTGACAGGTCCCAGATTGTGTCTGGGGAAGACCTATCCTAGTTATAGGGAAGAATTTTCCTGCTAGCAATTGCAATTGCATGCTACTTGCTTCTCATGGCGCTGTGACAGTCTGCGGTATGTGCTACCTTCCCCTCATTCTTTATCCGCTCCATTCTTCCTCCCTCCACACCTTCAGTATTGCCCATCATGACTTTTCAAATTGCTAATTGAACCCCTAGTACGAACGACGTTGAGGTCGTCGATGAAATAACCTTCCTTTCTCACCTGGGTAGTACACTCGCGCCGCTACTCTTCCAACACCTTACACGACTCCCCCTGCTTCTGTACCACTAGTCTCCCGCCACCCAGCCAGACATGGCTGAAATAATCGGAAAACGACAACGAAGAAAGAGTCTGAGCGTGTTCAGTCCATCCCTCACAATATCGACCTCCCTCCGGCCTCCACTCCATGACCGAACACCCTCGGATGATACCTTGACCCGAGACAAGAAAAACCGACGGAATTCTGGCTTCTTCGGCCGGGCTCACAGTCCCAACATAGGGTCCGACGGATCGAATAGCCGCCGGCCAGGGACAGCAGGCTCTGACACCGCCGGCTGGTCAGCATCCACACCCGTCATTGAGACCCCTCGCCCACGGAGGAAGTCGCTGCAGAAAAAGCGAACCTCGGTTTTTGGATCTCTGAGGTCATTGCACTCGTGGGAGGATGATGAGCCTCTGAGTGCCTCCGTCGGCTCGGTGGCGGACGAGCAGACCATGGCCAGTCCCCGAAATGGGATCTGGTCATCTGCAATCCTCCACCACGGGGAAGTCCAGACGACTGGAGGCATGTGGAGGAAAAAGAGTCAATATTTGGTCCTTACGGATACCCACCTCATTCGCTTTAAGAACCAAGGCAAAGCCGCCGATGTCTTTGGTTCTATTCCCGCTTCTTATACCCGGGCTCCGGCTTCCCATCGCCAATCAGTGGCTTCAGTCAGTTCTCTACAGGACATTCAAGTAATGGCATCTGGAGATGCAGCTGCCGGAATCCCATTAAACAGCATAATTGCAGTCTATATGCTGGAGGATGCACGATTATCTCCATCGGTCGAAGTGGCCTATCTCGATGAGCGCACACACAAAGCCACATTGGTTCAAATGCAGACATCTGATCTGCAAGAATTGAACCTTTGGATGGTAGGCATTCGTCAAGCCGCACAGATGGCTAGAGCGTATTCTCCAATGCCATTCAGCAGGGGATCGATTGAGTATGTAACTCGTATGCTAGAACACGAGCGAGATTATGACCCGGAGGCGTTCCGCATGTTCCGGGTCATCCAAATCGCGTCCAGCAAGTCAATCACCCGCTCTTCCTCTGATGACCTGACTAAGCTCTCGCCCACGGGCTGCTATCTTGCCATTGGTGCACATAAGCTTCATCTGCTGCCCATGCAGAAGACCACTAATCGAGCATCGGTCGTATCCCTATCAGACTGGGAGGCTGGTACTTCGTTTGGTCTGATGAATCTGACTGGTTTGTCGATGGAGTACGGTGACGACAGCCTGCATCTGACATTCAGGGTTCCTCTCAAGAAATCATTCAATGTCTTTCTGGCCTCTGTTCATTCTGTTGAAGTTGCTTGTTGGATCCGACAGCATACTGAATATCTTCGTCCATTGTGGATAAGACAGCCGTACGAATTCTTTGTTCCCAAAGAACTGCAAAATGACGACAACTTCCCGCCTGTCGCTTTAGATGAAGATTATGGATGCTTCGACCGAACGCTGGTCGCCTACTCCGCCAGTTATGACATCGACACATCAAATATTCGATACACGATCGACCAGGAATGCGAGGATGCCCCATGCTTCCGTCTTCTGAAGCCTGCTTCCCCGAAAACCCCACGGTACAGCGCTTTAGAACTTATTGCGGTCATGCGGACACTTCGCTATAATGAATTCTTCCGGTCAATTTCGTTCCGCGGGCTTAATCTTGATGCATTGCAGGGCCTTCGTGATGTTCATGGGGTGGATTCCGACGTCCATCTCGACCGAGGAGGCGCCTCCGTGCACATTCCAGGCCAGGCGAATCTGACTGTTCTCTCGCAAGAGGTGCGAGCTTTAGCTTTGAAGAGCAAATGGTTGCGCCGGCTCGACTTCTCTTACTGCCTCACACGGATACCGACACCAACTCTCGACAAGGGTGCTCGTGACCCAGGTTGTGGAATTCCAGAAGCGATTTTCCCCGTGTGCCGACGAGAATTGACCAGCGTGGACTGGGTGGTGCTCAACGGCATCAAGCTGGGTGAGTCGGATCTGGACTATCTCGTTGATGCGGCGTCCCAAAGGCGTAGTCACCTGCGAGCTCTGGAGGTCGGAGACTGTGGACTATCTGTGCATGATCTAGACCTTCTTTTGTCGACTATCGTCGCACAAGAATCAACGCTCGAGGCGATCAACATATCAGGCGTGCAGGGCCGATTGAATCCCGATGTACTCCAGCAGTATATTGGATACTTCGGACAAATCCGCAAAATCAACTTATCTCGCATCTCACGGACGTCTGGCGCCGACCCCCTCATAACGGCTGAAATGCTGTTCAACTGGCGACTCGAAGAGCTGGCTCTCAGTCGGACGGTTGTGAACCGCGAGACCGTGGATGCCATTGCTACTTACCTGGCTAGCGATCGCTCTCGAAATCTTCGTGTGCTTCGTCTTGATCAGTGCGGTCTGACCGGAGAAGACGTGGCTATGTTTATGCACTCGATGTCCGCTGGACCCGATGCCCCGCGCAGTCTCCATCTGCATGTCAACGAGAACCGCATTGACAACGGCTGCTCTCACGTTTTCAACGCTATTGCGAAGAATCAGACCCCCTCGCATCTGTCAATGCGCATGATTGATTTCAAGAGAGAAGACCATTTCCGTCAGCTGGTGGACTCAGTTCGGAAGAACAGTACCCTCAAGTTCCTGGATATTTCGAAGGCTTCCCTCCCGTACGATGCTAGCCCTGAGACCTGCCGATCGTTGCAGCTGATGCTCGAGGAGAATGAGACTCTTGAGGCTTTGGACATTAGCGGTGATAACGCGCACCTTGATGTTGCGCGCTTCGGCATTGGTCTTAATCTTGCACTGACTGGCCTGAAGAAAAATACATCTTTAAAGGTCCTGAGGATTGAACACCAGAAACTTGGTCTTCAAGGTGCGAATACGCTTGCCTCGGTCTTAGAGGAGAATGATGCGCTTCGTGAAGTACACTGTGAGAACAATGATATCAATCTGCAGTCCTTTACGGTGTTGGTCAACGGCCTTCGGTGCAACCGCTCCCTTCTCAGTCTCTCCTGTATGGACCGGGATCGAGTCCTGTCACTGGACAGAGTGCGCCGAGAGGTTGATAATGTTCGATGGGATGTTAGCAACAGCAACCAAACTTCCACGGCAAACTCGGTCCGTCGTTCACTGTATGCAGCGATGAGCGTTGGTCAAGGAGGGCAAGGGCACAGACTGAGCAAAGCACCGCCGCCTAGTGTCGCCTCGGCCTTGGAAAATTCTCCATTCGCCAAACACAACGTTGAACTAGTCCTGCAGTCTCTGAACGATAGATGGAACACGGAAGTCTCCCGGCTTAATCGATACCTCCTCCGCAACTACAACATTGCCCATGGAATCGAGGAAATTGATGATGCTGCCAGCGATGGACGACCCGGAACAGCAGCGAGCCTGGGCACGATGCTTGACAATCTCAAATTCGACGTGTCCGTGTCGGCAGATGAGATCCGAACGTCGTCGCCACCAGACGAGTCTCCTGCTGCCATCCGACTTTCAGAGGCATCCGACGCCCCATCCCAGACCTCGTCGAACGTCGAGCCCAGCTCGGTCCAACCAAAATGCCTTCCATCCAATAGCCGCCGCCCTCATACCGCTGCTGCTGCACAATTTGTTCCATCCAGTCATGGTTCTGCATCCCCAACCTCTCGCCTAGCTCTCCCGGTTCCAGCCGTGCCCCTGGCAGTCGGAAAAGCAGAGAGCGTCCGCAGTGCACGCAGTTCTTCCAGCAACGCCTCGATAGGCGCGGGCAGTACACGAAGCGCCTACGGCGTCGCCTCATCTACCCTAAGGGGCTTCCTCACCGGCACCGCGTTGAAGGAACGTCGCCGTGCGGATGCAGTGCGTCCCTCGCCTGTGTGCGTCAACAATGACAAGCCGCCTCAGCTAGACTGGGCACCACCAAAGCTTGACTTGGGAGGGCTCCAGTAGCCTTCATTGCACCCATCAACAAAATACCTCCTTCTACCTTGTACAGAATCCTCCACACCTCAACTCAACACGAACCGAAGCCTGGCTCTTGCAGTACATATATACGACGAATCAGGTTTCGATTGCATACCCTTCTTTTTCACCCTGTGAATCATATTTTATCTTACTCATGAACCCATAACTCATTAACTCAAACCCCTATCCAATTCCGATTTCTCCAAACCGGCCAGTCGGCACTGATACCCTGGCGTTCCAGTTTCTTTTTACAGAGGCACCGCATTCTCCAGGCGTTCCATCCTCATTACTCATTTTCATTTTAATTCCATGTGCCAATATCTCTCTTACCAACGCAATCGATATCAATCGATATCCTCCAATCAATATCCTATCCGTTTTATTCCTTGGCCTGTTTTTTTGGCTCTCTTACTCTTATTGGAAAATGTCCTGCCTCATTTTGCGAGTTAGTCGCTCTCGTCCATGACTAATGTTTATTGGGGCTGGGGCTTGGGCTGTTTGATATTTATGGTGTTTTCCTTGCGCTTCTTCCTCGCTCTGGGGTATTGAGTACTGTTTGGATAGGCATTAAAATACCATTGTTCCATTCTATTTGATTTCCTGGTCTCGGGTGAGACTGAGTAGTTTAGGCGTATCTTGTCTAGGGACTTGGCCTACGTATGTACATAGGTATGCTATAAAATACAAGCTTGACATTTGTGCGTCTCAAGTTCAACGAAAAGAACGGAAAAAGCCAAGAGTTGATATGTATATATCTGTACATACATGTAGTTGAAGAACACAAGAGATCCAACCAAGACGCATCCCAAGTCTAACTATGTGAATAAAACCAACGCCAATGTATATCAAAGACTCAATATAGTACAATGGGAGAGGAATTGATCTAATATTTAAACAAAAGAAATTCCCATCCCACCAATCTCAATCCTCCATCTAGACAAGACCTTAGGAACCTAATCAGACATCACATCTTATAAGAATCCTGGTAAACAAGAATCCCACGTTCACGATCCTTCTCTTCCAAACGCTTCCGGTAACGACGTCCTCTGTCAGTCACCTTCTTCAAAGTCGAGAAGAAAAAGTGATCATGATCTGTTACGTTCTTTCTCAACGCGTTATTGCGACGCCTCTTGCACCCCCGCAGAAGTTCGTTACTCTCCTTCACATCAAGCTCGGTGAGCTCGTAGTCAATCGACCAATCGTCGGTATCTGTCATCCACCCCGGCCGACGCACTGACTCTCCATTTATTTTGCTATCCACGACAACCTTCATTCCGAGCAGGTTCTCGTCGAATTTGCCCAAGTTGCTGACATCACGCTTGGGCACGGTCTTGGTTTTGTTGGTTTTGGCCGGCGTGATTGGTTCGAGGTCAGGGAGCTCGAAGGAGGTGTCGTACGTTTCTTCGCATTCCTCCTCGCCTTCCTCTTTGGGGAAGAGGACGTCCGCCAGGGACGGGGCGGAGGGATCCTCCTTTCCATTGAAGGGTTCGGTTTCGGTTGGCTTTTCCGCGGGATAGAAGGGGTCGGTTTCGGTTGATTCCTCCTCCGAACGGAGGAACTCGGCTGACTCCTCCTCTGGATCGAGGGAGTCAGTTTCCGAAGATTCCTCGTCCGCATAGAGGGATTCTTCTTCCCCTACGGCTGCCTTTTCGTAGTCGGTGTCGACGAATTGATCCGGGTTGAGGAGGCGGTCCTGGATGGCATCGATATGGGCTTTGTTCTTTGTCTGGATGGCGTCGATTTCATCGCTCGTGACGGGCTGCGCGACGATGTTCATCCAGATATCTTCCTTACTTTCACCTCGGGTCTCAAAGTGGAAACGCAGAGACTGCTTGGGGAACCTCTGCGTTGCCTTGTCCATGATCTTCTCCCACAGGCCGAGACTCAGTTCGAATTCTTTGTTTCCGAGCGTGGTGGTGGGCGAGGAGTGCAAAGCCTGATCCATCTCGGAGAGTGGGATGTATTGGAAACCGAAGATGCGGTCGATGTTGTGATACGCGACGAAGATACCGTCCATGCGGCCAATGCGCACCTGCAGGGAATATTTAAGGAAGGCGGCGCGGATCATGTCAAAGTACTCGCGTTCGAAAGACTCCCACTTGCCAAAGCGGCGTCTGATCTCATAGCCCATCCCGCGCTTGTGATCCGTGGATTCCATGCGGATCGAAACCGCCGCGCGCGTTTTCAAGTCGAACATGCCAGTACCTGGCAGTCTGGGATCGTAGGCATCGAGTTGCGATCGCATGAGAAATTTGCCCGCGGTGCTGTAGTGGTATGACTCCGGGACGGCTGCTTCTTCCTCGGCAGTGATCTTGTTTGGATCACTGCGGCGATAGCGCTCAAACTGATCTTTTGGCAGCGTGAGTTGCTTCTCCATCGACTTGCCCAGGTTCATAAGAATATTGGCATAGTCGTATTCCTTGTCCGCATCAATGGCGTAAACATCCTCATCCTCCTTGTAACGGAGGAACATAGCAGCTGGCGCTCGAAGAAGACGGGTGAAGGTCTGCGTAGGGTCGTCGAAACCCCGACTAATTTTGCTGGTGTCGACAGGCCGCCACGCGGACAGAAGATAATGGAAATGAGCGAGAACTGAAGTCATGCTCGACGATGAGCCGTAGTACTTCTTCCCATGTTTCTTGGTCATTTCGCAAGCTGTCACATCTTGAGAGGAGGTGATGTACGGCTTCAAGGTATCAAAGTCAAATTCCGTCACGGGCATGATCTGATCCAGGTAGGGGTCGAAATTGTAGACAAGAGTCCGAGGGTCACGTAGCTGGTAGACACCAGGACTGTTCACTCTTAGCATATCGATCAATAATAGGGTAGACTCAACGACTCACTTGAAAAGCACTCGGTCTAGACCAAAGGCGACGCGCGGGACAGGAGGCATGGGGACCGGCACCGCTTGAGTGGAAAATTAGCCCACATTCAACGGCTATGTCAGATTTCAAAACTCACCTTTTAAGTGCAGCTTGCGGTCCATTGAGGAAAGAGACCCACGGTCATCCGACGTAATGTGGTCTTCAATATCCTCCCCGCTCTTCTTCTTCTTCTTCTCCTCCTTCTCCTCGCCGTTCTTGGAGCTGGCTTCCAATATTTGATCCACTACATTGCTAGTGGACTGCAAGTTGAGCATGCTTTTCTTGGGCTCACTGAATGCTGGCGTATCTGATGGGCCGTCTGTTGGAACCTCGGCTTCTGGTTCACTTTCTTTCTCCTTTTCCTTCATTTGAGTCCCAATTTTGGCATTGGCCAGCTTTTTCCCCTCCTTATGTTTGACCCTTCTTTCCTGTCTGGCTTCAACATCCGTTGCTGTCACCTTTTGTTGAAAGGCCTTGATTTTTTCTGCTTCCACCCGGGCTGCTTCTGACGAGGCTGCATTTGATGGTGGCTCTGACGGTGCCGCATCTGATGGTGCTGCCCCTGACTGTGCTGCTTCGACCCGCTCCATTTCCAACTTTACTGCTTCGGGAAGTGTAATGTCTCTGTTGGCTAACATTGAATTCCTAAACTTCTCGAAGTCCGATTTATGCCGGAATTTGTATCTCCTTTTTTGTTTGACATTCATCTCAGCCCACTCGGAAGCAGTAAGCTGTATCGGTTTAGCTTGTAGCGGCTGGGGCTTCTGGGGTTCGGACGAGGCAGCGTCTTTTGTCTCTGGAATTTGGCCCTATAGCACACACTGTCAGGACTTGATCTCACGTTGTACCTTGGAGCGAAGGACATACATTGGGCGGCAGTGGCACTGAAGGCTCGGTCGACGCGTCTAATGAGTTGGTTTCTGGCTTGATTTCGCCTATATTGGTACGGAGTGCAGATATGTGGTGAAACTGGCGCAAACTGGGCGCGCCAGGGCGCGGTAGACAGGAGAGACAAACATGTCGGCTTAGAGGGCCTGACACAGACCGCAAAGAGGTCCGAAGCATCCAGGTCAACTGTTGACAGATAGTTTGGGAAATAGTATAGATGTAGAATTCCCCCGAAATGCAGTCGAATCGAGAATTTAGAGAATTCAACACCGTCAATAAGCCACCGGGGCGAACCTTGGAATTGCCTCTCCGGGCTTTTTTTTTCTGCCAGAAGATTGGGGTCACCGCTTTGTTATCTGGGTGCCTTTATGCCTAAGGTGTCATTTGATATCGAAGAGAAATGCAGTGGAAACGATGAAACGACAGTAGAATTGGATATTTTCTTTTATATTTACTTCTGGATATATTTCATATTTCAATTGAAAATGTAGTATAGTGTTGTCAAATAACTATAAAATTCTTATCTCTTAGACTTATATTGTACGAAGGTGATTCATTTGCAGTTGTATTGAATCCTGTACTCTTATCTAGTCTTAACATGTAATCTTGGTGACGGTAAAACTGCCGCCTCGGGAAGTCATCGGCTCCCGGAGCACAGGGTGAGTTGGTCACCCCTGAGCAGCTCCCTGAGTAACCTGATCGCTCACCCGGATGCTCAGGCTGATCGGCCCATTTGATCTCATTTTGCCTCTCCATTGTATAAGGTCCTCCGACGCTAACCGTACTGCTTACTGCCTGCTTCTAGTGTTCCTAGGAGCGAAGGCTAGGATATGACGTACCCTCACGTTGCTATAGTAAATTCTCTCTCCTTTGCCACTAGCTGTTGGTCGACTTAACCTGTCTTTCAACCTGTGTAAGAATTTGAGCGCCTCACCATCTGTACGCTGTATTATTCACCCTTTCCTTTATAATACAGCAAATACTTCCCTTTTTCTTCTATTCTCAAAGTCTGGGGTGAGGCTCGTTCCTATAATCTCGTGCCCTGCTAGAAGCTTTGTCTGAATTAATGTGCTGTCAGCCATCAAGATCATGCTTAATGCATAATGATGCCTTATCCATAGGGCATCGTCATCAAGAACCAGTGGTTATAACGCGCGTCCCAGTAGCCACGCGAAACTGCATCCGGTTTCTAGGAACCCATCTTTGTATCAATTCCTTACCAAAATTGGATTGGGGGTTCGAATTGGAGAAGGTATAGGAGCCCGGCAATCTGTCCTCCCAATCCTTTCTTTCACTGTATTCTCCTCTGGTGTCGCCACGGTTGATGCCCCGGCGACCCAGTCTTGGCCCCGAGCGCGAGGTCCTGTCTATTCGCGGCCAGCGCATTCTGCCGTTGTTGCCCAGTCGACTTTCCAGCTCGGCCTTACAAGATCTTGAGCAGAATGCATTTGAGTCGCCAATCTTTAATCAGCGGGGATCGCAGTCGATTGGACATAGTAATGCCCGATATAAATGGTACGTACCATAGAGATGATAGTATCATTGCTCCGGTGATGTTATGAACCATTTATTATCGCGTCGGATCATATGGATAGACTTATCCCACCCTCTTCTTACGGGCCTCATCTTCCATACTTTCCAATGGATCCGAGTATTTCTAATAACTGCTCTCCCATGTAGGCAACGTTACTATCGACCACTAGATTCTCTCTGAAGGGCCTACGCAAGCCAATGTATGTCGTGTTATCGCTGCTTTCTTCCAACTCTCATTTTCTATCATACAACTAACCTATTTGTTGTCAAAAGCATTATAAACGGAACAACGACTTGATCTCACACTATCTTTACATCGATCGCCTTCTTGACTCGTCTCACCCGCATAATCCAATTGAAGATTATTCGGACGGCCACCAACACTTAGACGATCATACAAGCAATAGCCATCGATCATCCACCGACGTAGACGGCATTACAGACGCAACGGCCCCGGTAGATCTCAAAGCCGCCGGAATCAAATACACGCGACATAATCTAGATAGTATCCTGAATGAGGCCGCCCCATTGCTCCACCATGCAACATCCGACTCGGACTCTCATTACCGCCTGTCTCCGAAGCAGAAGAGCGCCTAGCCAGTATTACCATCCGTATCAGCGTTCCTGCAAATGTAATAGAAGCTTCAGACCTTCCGTTCCAGACTAGCAACGTCATGTGGATTCAGAACGAGTGACCCGGGCCGCTCAGTTGTAACACGCTCCTTCCCTACACAAGTTTTTCAACACCGCATTCCCTACTCTTCTCTTCTCCCCTGATCTCTCACTTCTGTCCCCTTGCCATCGCCATGTCTACTCTTTCCTTAACTCCCTCGAGCGTCTCATCGAGGACTGTGGTCTCCGCAGATCAGTTCAAAACACAGCCACAGTTTGAGCAGGCTATTCACAATACTCTTCGCGAGGCTAAGGGCTTTCATGAGCTCGTGATTATCAACGTGCCGCCAGGGTGGAAGGATTTCCTCTGGCAAGTCGAGGAGGATCTCCCTTCTATTCGAAAGACCTATAACCCAGAGAGCCGTTGTTTACGACTCAAAATCATGCCAAGTTATGCCCACAATTGCATTGCCGAATGGATTTCAGCCTCAATTTCCAGAGCCTGCGCGATAGGTTTCCTGAACCCAGCAGAGCTAGACCTTCTCCTTCTACAACAAGGCACAAGTGAGTTCAACTGACGACTTTGATCGTACCCTTATTATTAATATGTCTAAAGCACTGTCATTCACAAATAGTCCATATCGCGGTCTCCGAAAGGAGCCAGATGCTCTTCTCCACACCCCATCGCAGCCCTTTCCAACTCTTGTCGCAGAGGTTGGATGGAGCGAGTCGTATAATGACCTACTTGATGACATGAATCGGTTACTCATTGGTGCTAACGGGGCGATCAAAATCGTCATTCTTGTTAAGTTGACGAAGCATGCAAATGACTCAGTCAGCGGAGTCCTCGAACTTTACAGAAATTACCGACAAGGGATCCCAAGACGCACGCAGACTGAAGTTATTTTCCCTATGCCTGCTGGTGACCCGGCTCAGCCACTTGACATTCGACGTTGCGACCTGTACCCTGTCCAGTCTCCTCGCAATCCAAACGAGAACTTTCCTCTGATAATTAGCCGCTTACGCTATCACGCTCGGATCAGTCTTGCGAAGGAGGGATACGTGCCTGCCTAGCCGCTAGGTTTGTCTCTATTATTCTAGCTTTGTTGCACTCTAGCTACGTCTCGTTAAATCTAGTTTAAGGGTAGCTATCATCGACTATATTAATTATAATACATATGTAGCAAGCACGTACCCACGCCGAGTACATGGATAAGAAGGAAGGTAAAACAAGGATGAGAAGAGGAATGCACCTCGTCTATATATATAGCTGATCCTGTCTATGCGGAACCAATGTCCTCTTCATAGTCATCAGAGACCAGCTCGTCTAGCATTAGGATATTAACGAGGAGGCTGCGACGGTGGATATAATGGACCCGGTAGGCACCCTTGAGCCGAGCCTTGACTGTAGACACGATGATGGCCCGTCGTGTGAATACCAGCCTCGCCAGGGCCGGCTGGCCGTTGGTGGGAAGGCGGAATCCCACTCGACACCGACGGCGGTGGTTGCGCGTAGCCCGTGCTGCCAGGGTGGATTGCCCTTGGAGGGGAGTCGCGCCTCTTCCGTCCTCAGGAATGAGCTCGCTATGAGGTGCGAGCGGGCGTGGGACAATTGCTAACGGAGTTCTTGACGGCGCTTTGGAGTAACGCTAGGGACTGGAAGAGGACCGGTTAGTTCACCGCGAGCTTTCTTTTCCTCTGCCGTTAAGACAGTCTCCTCGAAGTCTTTCTGTCCAGGGTCAGAGGATACTAGTAGTAGCTTTCACCTCACAATCGACTTTCTACTCAAAAAGTATACTACCGAAATGCGTGTCATTCCAATTCTCACTGGAATTGCGTGCCTTATTATAGGCGCGAATGCGCAAAATTGCGTCTTGAATAAATACTGCTGCAGTTTTGAATTGACTGCCCTGGGTACTGTTCTCATTGTCAACGTCAAGAAGCTGTTTGATAATTTTCAGCTAATCATGAATCATATAATTTAGTTGATCCCTATACTACCGCGCAATTAACCGCTGGCATTCCTGCAGACCCATACCTTATTACCATGCGCGTCGACACCACTGACCCTGCACTACTTGCTAATGTTCTCTACAAGTATGTGGGGGTAAGTGGACTGCCTAACTGAAAGACCTTTCCTACTTTGCAATTGACGGCTAAAATCGGATAACATAAACAATAAGGCATGATGAAATCCCTGATTGCCTACCCTGAGTACCCTGAGTGAAGGGTAAGCAGATCCCTGAGCAACCCTGAGCAACCACGAGTGCTCAGGGGGCAATCCGTGAGCGTATGGAAATGGCGGGCAGAAACAGATCACGTGCTAGATCGATGACTAAGATTATCGTGAAAATGACGCTAAAAACAGCGTCAAGAGCAGCCGTTTTCGGGGTCGAATTTACCGTTATTTAACGTTGTGGTGTAATATATGGCAGATAGAATCAGTTCAAGACTGTCAACTCCATTGAAATCTATTCAATATTCAAGTCCATCTTTAATTATAACTATAGAAATATTTGCCTCACCCGAGATGGGGAGAATTCTGGGGTCGGAGAAACACCCAGCCGGAGGGCAGAAAAAAAGTTGAAAGTTTAACGTCTTGATTTCCCATTCCCCCATACAACCTTGGAAGTTGCTTCTCAGGTCTCTGTGAAGTGAGTAAAGTGCGGTTTTCCTTATTACCAAGCATTTTCCAGTTGTTTACCCCGTTCCATTGCTCTATGACTCACTTTCTTCGATGGAGGGGCATTACATACCCCGCGGAGGTTTCTATATACTAACACCACCATAGTCGAGACGCTTCTCCAACCATGGCCTCCGAACAATTGCGCATCCTCATTGTCGGCAATGGTGGCCGTGAGCATGCCTTCGCCTGGAAGCTGAGCGAGTCCCCCTTGGTCGACATTATCTATGTCGCTCCCGGAAACGGTGGTACAGGCATGGGTACCAACAGCAAGGTCACCAATGCCAATGTCAAGGGCGACGACTACCCCGGCCTAGTGGCTTTTGCG